GAGCAGCTGGATAGAACAGGTGGAATTTACGCAGCTCATTTACACACTTTTCCTGAAGATAGAAGAGTTTGTTGAATCTGACGTGACATGTTCGTACYAACCCTTTGTACGAACAAAAGTAAGAGAAATTTAGGAGAAGAATACGAACATGTTCTTGCATGAGGCCCATTGTGCATGACCAAGAATGTAGTTCTGGAAGACATGCACACAACAATGGTAATAATTTTCAAAAATTGGCCCTTCAAAGTGTGCCCTATACTAGCTTGGTTAACTTGGTTCAAAACACTCAAAGTTCAGTGAAATTGCAGCTGAATATTTGTTTAATTTGCAATTTTGAGACACCAGATAGTCTTCCAACATAGTTGCAGCTGAGTGAGATATCACCTTAAAGTGACAACTATGTTTATAAAGTAACAGACAAACAGTAAAACAAAACATCATACCAGACAATCAACTACGCAAACAAGAAACACAAAACCAGGAGCGTGGCACAATGTGGAGGTAAACGTTAGAATCTGACAATCTGGCATGAGAAACAGAAGACTATTTAAGCAGCAAGGAAAGTAGTTCCTTTTACCAGCAGTCTATCTGATAACCAAGTTTCAAGGCAAAAGGAGCTGAGAGAAACAATGACTAATGAGAGAAGAACTCATGTAAATCAAACAACTTTAAAATACAAAAAGAAGAAGAAAAAGAAAGAAACAGAGTTTATACAAGTAACAAAATAAGCAAAGAGAGTTCAAGTGGATGCCCCAGGAACTACAAGGCAGGCAAGAGATTTCTGGAGGGCAGCCAGGAAACTGTTTTTAGGCAGGCAGGGCAATTATGGTGGATGGCCTGGGAACCATCCAGACTAGCAAAGCTGCTTAGAAGTTTGACCATCAGGCCATCTCGACTGAAGAAAAAACACATACACATACTTGGCTGGCTGTAACCTTCTAATGGCTGGAACAAAAACTGTTTGAGACAACCTCAATGACTAGAGTCTAGACAGGAAAACTGTCCTTGACAGCAGACCCTCAAAAGCTGAAGTGTGGAGAAGCAAAGAGGTGCTTGACTMGAGCCCATCAAACA